GGAGGTTCTGCAGCATCCGGTCCAGAACCAGCAGACTGAGAGACAGCTTTTTCCATCAGGCCATCAGACTGCTGAACACTTCACAGACACCTCACCCTCACTACTGAAACTCCAACATTACACACTCCTTACTGTACATTAATGTCACTGTTTTGCACATACCAACCTCTGTACATTTTATATCTCTTATTTTATCGTTTACTTCATTCATTTGTAAAATATGTATATACGCATTGTACACACACTCACACGCACACACGTAGAAAAAAAAATAAATAAAATAAAATACTAGCACACACATTTAGTAATGTAAATACGTTACATACTATATATATAATTACTTAGATTAGCCATTTTTATATTTTGCTTGTTTTTACGTTACTGTATTTTTGCACAACTCTGTTCCTGTGAAGCTCGCACACAAGAATTTCACTCGCATGTACTGTACCAGTGTACCTGCACATGTGACGTGACATTAAAAGTGATTTGATTTGATTTGATTACTAGTTTACCTGTTGAATTAATTATAGATTCACTGGGATATATACAATAAAGTTTATCCCTCACTAAATAGAAATTTTACTAAGAAATCACAATATAACCATAGAAATATTACTTGGTATATATGTTGTGTGTGTGTGTGTGTGTGTGTGTGTGTGTGTGTGTGTGTGTGTGTGTGTGTGTGTGTGTGTGTGTGTGTGTGTGTGTGTGTGAGTGTGTGTGTGTGTGTGTGTGTGTGTGTGTGTGTGCGTGTGCGTGTGCGTGTGTGTGTGTGTGTGTGTGTGTGTGTGTGTGTGTGTGTGTGTGTGTGTCCGTTCTGAGACCACGACTCACTGATCCCCAGTGAGTCGCGGTGGATGGTGCTTATACTGATCCAGGATCCTCTGGTGGTTTCTTCCTGTTAAAAGGGAGTTTTCCTCTTCACTGTCGCTAAATGCTTGCTTAGTATGATGATTGCTGTAAAGACTCTGACACCAGTCAGTGACTTGATGCAATTTGCTGGGTTCCTTATATAGGAAACTTTTACTGATTGGCTTAACTGTACTGGATTGTTTATTATGTGAAGTGCCTTGAGACAATTATTGCCATGATTTGGCGCTAAATAAATACACTTTAATTGAATTGAATTAAATTGAATTGATACATTATAGTGTAAGTGCTTTGGAGTCCTCTGACTCTGAAAGGCGCTATACAAGTGCGGGTCATTTATAATTTAGTTTGATTGTAATTATGACAAGTGACCCTAACATACTATCCTAAGAAAATATGGAAAGGTTAAACTCATACAACAATTTATGCTAACAGTATTACGTGTACTTTGACTATTTTTGTAATGTCTGAGTGCTAAATATAGAACTTTTAAAATGTCATTATTATTTGTGTCATTTTACTTTTTGTTCGTTTTCTGAGGGTTCCAGTCAGTATTCTTTCTCTGTGGCCAACCTGCAATAAGTAGATGTTACAGGGACAAGTAATCCAAGGATTTTACCAGCTTCATGTAAAACATTTTATAATTTTTTTTAAATATCCAACATTTTATCCCAAATCAAAAACTGTCTGTAAAAGTTTTGCAGGTAAGAACAGATAATCCTTCATTATACACATCTAATACCTCATCTAAAATGAAATATTTTTATTCAGAACACAGATTTTAATGACAGATGCCCCAAATTCACTTAAAATCACAATTCCTCTCTGATTTTAAGCCCACCACCTTTTGTTTATCCTATCCTGACTTTCTGTCTCTCCTTGCACCACCTTTTCTGAGGTCAGCTGACAGGCTGTTCCTGGAAGTCCCAAGAACGAGACGTAAGATCAGGGGTGACGGGGCTTTTTTAAGTAGCGGCTCCTAGGCTCTGGAATGTGCTTCCTCTGAGATTAGGTTGGAGTCTTTGTTTGTTAGTTTTATTTTTTTTTTTTTTACATGTATTATTGTGTGTTTTGTTCTTAGTTTTAAATTCTGTAGAGCACTTTGGTATGTTTTATACTGTTGTAAAGGTGCTATACAAATAAAGCTAGCTTGGCTTGGTTTTCCAAGAGCATGGCTTAGATTCCTTCGTCCTAATCAGTGATCTGCCTGTGATGGCACAGAGGGCAGTCAGAAGAATGATGTGTTAAAAATGCAGATAATAAATGGTGTTGATCTAACACACGGATGATGTTCAGGCTGAGCCGGTCCATAGATTCTTTTAGCTACACAAACATATTAAAAGTGTTCTTTTGTGCCCAAAGTCGAGATAAATAAACAATGTATTCAAGATAAATGAATATGTTGTTGTAAAAACTGAGAAGTCTGTATCAGGAAAGAAAAGTTAGTATTTGCTTTTGAGTTTAGCTAATTCGTAATGTTATTGCCATAGTTAAAACCTTTGGTAGACTGCATGGTGGAACAGCATTGTTGTGAACCCTAAATTGTACCGATAGGTATGAGTGAGTTTGTGAATTGCTGCGTGTCCTCTGTGGCCCTAAGATGAAATGGTGACCTGTCCTAGGAGTCATCCACCTCTTGCCTGAAGACTGTCGGACTTAGACACCAGCTTCCTAAGGCTTGAGCAGAAAAGAAGATGAGTGAGTGAAAATATTTGTGTACAAAATAATAAGGGTCCTGGGGTATCTGTGGTGTAGAAAACAGGAACGTCTGCTTTCTTTTAGGCCTTTTTCCTTCGGGGGTTGCTGCAGCAAGTCATCTGTCTCCATTTAGTTCCATCCTCTGCATCCGCTACCCTCACACCAACTAAATTTATGTTGTCTTTCATCAAATCCACAAATCTCTTTTGGTCTTCCACTCAGCCTCCTGCCAGGTGCCAAAAATAAGCCTTAAGGTTTTGCTCTCAGGCAGAGCGTTACAGCTCCGGTCACAATGCCCCACCTGATATAAAAAAAAACTTTTTTAATACTGCATTTGGTTATTTTTAATCCCAGCAGGGAATGAAATGAAAGAAAAAGGTGGGAGAAGAAAGGAATAAAAGAAATAATACAAGATGTACAATAATCTGCGTCTAGACCTGCTGAAAGAGAGAGTGAGAAAAAAGGCTGTCAGCATAGGGATATAAAATAGTAACAATGTACACTGAAAAGCACAAGGTAATAATTAATTGATGGTGCATTTAGTGCCAACCACAGCTCAAGGTGTGTCAAAACACCTGAGTCCATAGATGTGAGAACAATTTGTCCATAGGAGTTCCCAATAGTTTACCTGCCCTCCAAGACCCATGGAAGACATGCAGAAGATCCAAATTCCAAACATCCAGAGGTCCTGCCAGAGTATGGGGACCCCAGGAAGACCAGCCACCCCCAACCCCAGCAGAATACTCCCACCTCTGCTTTTGATCAACTTCCAAACTACATAAGACAGACATCCAGAAAGAGTTTGAGCTCCCAGAGATACCCCTTTCTTTGTTGATGGAAGTAGAAGTATTCCTGCCAGTTGAGAAGATGCCGAGGTCCACCATACTGCCAGGGCCAGGCACTGCCAAATGCATGTGCCCATACCATCAGCAGCATACACAAGCCAGCTCCCTTGGTCCAACCCAGACCTCCATTCGGGAATGATCCATACCAGGACCCAAGTCACCAGGCTCTCCTCAGACCCACCCAAGATAGACACAGCTATCAGGCAGCGACCTGTGGCTACCAGCACAGACCCCTGAGGCCCTGCACATGGCCACTATCCCCTATACCCACCAAAGTGCCACCTAGGCCTGAGCTGCAGCCCTCCAGCGCTGCCTACCCCCCAGGGAAACCCCCCCACCCCCCCACCCCCCCACCCCAACCATAATGCCCTGCAAGACAAAATCTGTAGCCTAATTGCGTTAGCTGTATCTGGTTTGCCAGCTGCATCTGCTGGTCAACAAGAGCCTGTCTCAATGAAAACCTTACAGCACTCTTCTCAGATTCCACCCCCTGGTCCTCTCCTCCATCTTTGTTCTCTTCATCTTCCTCACCATCAGTTTCATCCTACAGACAAACAGCTTATGCTTTCTCACGACTCTCCCACCTACCTTGTGGTCACTTGTCTCCTTCAAATTACAACATCTAAGATGTTGTCTACCTTTGTGCTCCTCATAAGTCACCCTATATTCATGCCTCTTCTACAGGAAAGTAGTTACAACATCCAATTAGTTTCTTCTTTGCAAAGTCTAACATCCTCTGTCCATCTCCTTGGGAACTTTTTCCTGAATACTTAACCTGTTTGTTACTTTTTAATCACATAAATTCCCTTAACCAACATCTCCATTAACCCTCTGGAGGAAGGCGTTGCAGATTTGCAACGTTAAAACCTACCTACCTGGTTACTCCACATACGTATTTCATGAGCATTTTTTTACTCAAAAGTACCCCTGAAGGACTCAGTTGTTTGTCCTTTTATCAAAACTTATTTTGAGCCTGAGAGGGTTAAATTGTGCACCAGTTATCACTCTTACGTCTCTAGGGAAACGCTGCTTCAAATCATCTAGCTCACTTCCTCTAACTTCTCTTCTAGCTTACATCCTACCTGTGGGGCATAACTACTAACAAGTTCATCATTATTCCTTGAACTTCAAGCTCCTGATTCATCTGTTTATCTGACCTCTTTTCACTTACAGAATGTTCATAGCAAACTCATCCTTCAGGATACCTCCGACTCATTTCTCTGTCCATCTACAGTATGGTAGAACAACTTAAACCCTTCTCCTGAGCGCAAAACAGCAAAATAATTTGGGCTGTGCTGTAAAAATAACAACTGAGGCAACATGGTCTTCCAAAAATGAGTTGAACAAACTAAAAAGGAAAGATTTTAAGAAATAGTAAAAATTCTAAATTAAAAAGTGGCACATTTTCATTTCTCAAGAAGTTTAAGTTTAATCAGAGCTGTGACTCTGGGGGTGGACACAGTTGGCACCTAGGATTTATATAAATGCTTTTGAACAAAGATAAGGAGATGTGAGAGAGAGTAGGAACGGAGAGATGTAAAGCACAAGCGGCATGGCAACACATAGAAAGAGGAAGAAAAGAGTTACCCATATGTAGCCGCCGTTTCACCCGCTTGTCCACATCAGCTACTGACGTGGCATTGAACTCAGAGCTCTCAATTGCAGCCTCATCTTTCTCTAAAACAAAAGTGACAAGGGGACAAACAGTGAGCAGCAGGTTAATGAGAAGCCCAAATGACCAGACCTTCAGCCCCACTTGGCGTTTGAGCAAAAAGAAAAAGAAAAAAAAAATCAAAGCCAAGATGCAAGAAGCGATAAAAAAGTGCCAAAATCCCAGTTAGAGTGTTAATTCCCAAACAATTACAAAATCTCTGCAGCAAGAACAAAATAAAATAAATGAAACTGATAAGTAGCTTAGTGTCTAGCTTACAAAATCAAGCAGGTAGGCAGCGAAAAAATAGATTTTTCAGGACTTAAAACATGGAAAGAATTCCTAAAAAAAATGATAGGAGTGTGGTATTTAAGGGAAGGAACGGGACTGGGGTTTGGGAATCTGATGGTTGCTGTTGCCAGTGTAGTTTATGTTTTCCATATCAAACAGCCAAATGAAAGAAAAAAGATAAAGAAAGAAGAAGAATCAAGGTCTGACATTTCTGAGAGAAACTTCTGTGAATGTGGGCAACGAGACAAGCAAAGAACATTAGGCGGTGATGACAAAAGAAAGAAAACAGGGTGGTGCATGAGAGGGCAATTAGCATTAAGAAGGTGCTCAGAAATCTACAAAAACGATTAGAAGACTAAGAAGGAATAAAGAAAACAGATGAACAAGAAAAGCACGTTTGAAGTCCCGTCGTGGCTCACAATGGAGGGGTGTACATGAGGGCAAGAGGGCGTGTAAAATGGGATTTAAAGGAACAGTGTGAGAGGGACATGCAAGGAGATTAGGAAATTTTACAAAAGAAGAGTGGGTTGTCTGGGGCAGTGCTGGTTGCCTGTTTGTCTATGGAACACATTACAATTGGCTTTAACAGTCAACGCTGGACAAACTGCATTCCCAAAAGCGGAGTAGCAGCGGTGAATGGCAAGAGTAGAAATCAAAGCAGGTTGTAGCTAAAGTGGCGTACATGTCCTGCACTGGTGGTTTGGAGATGGGGCTGGAAGAAGGAGCTAGCCTTTCACCCAACCTGAATCATTAGGGCCTGAATGAGCATCTCTCTACGAATGAATGAATGCCGTTTGCTGCAATGGGAAAGGCCTTTGATGTTTCATGGAGTCGGCGGAGAGCGGGAAGATACGGGCACAATTAATATCCCTTCCATTACCCCGGCGCCACCTTGCTACCTTTTCTCTTCTGTGTGATGGACAAAGTGAAGGACTCTCTGAAGCACACTCAGGGATGAATGGAGTCTTTCTGGTGCTCAGCTCACTGGGTGAAATGTGGTTGTGTGAGTGTGTAATTGTTGAATCAAAAGCTTGTGCATACCAGCTTTTGAATGTCTGCTTGCTTGAGTGTGTGAAAAAATGTGTCAGAGTGGGATTCTGTGTGTGTGTGTGTGTGTGTGTGTGTGTGTGTGTGTGTGTGTGTGTGTGTGTGTGTGTGTGTGTGTGTGTGTGTGTGTGTGTGTGTGTGTGTGTGTGTGTGTGTGTGTGTGTGTGTGTGTGTGTGTGTGTGTGTGTGTGTGTGTGTGTTGCGTTTTATAAGACAGATTTGAGAAGTACTAGAAAGGAAACAGTCCTTGCAAGTCACTTCTAAACAGCCTATAGGACTACAGGTTTGTTGGAGGCCCAGGGAGAGGGCTGGTTCTCTATATGAAGGAGGAGGTGGGGGAAGAGTTAAACCACTCTACGCTAGTGCAGCTAGGAGGAGAATGGTAAAACATTGGAACAAAACACCAACAATCAAATTATATCTCAAATTAGTTGAAAAGTGAAAAACAAATGCAGTTCAGGCTCTCCGTTGCAGCTGGTTAACAAGATAAGCAGCGATTGGATGGATTAGTGAAAGAAGAAACCAAGTGGATGACGTGGCAAATTTCAGTGGGCACATGCAGTAGGAATGATAGTTTATGAAAGTGAAAATAGGAAGGACGGTGCAAGTCCTTGCCTCTTTCTTTAATTTCTGCTGCAACAGCAGGCGCCAATGGATGGAGCAATGGCTTGGAAATCATTTTGGAGTCGGTGGGGTTTTGGTTGTAGGCTTTATCTAAGATCAGGCTGCAATTGAGACGTCCGTTTAGCCACAGCTTAATACAAGGTTTTCCACCCCCCACTCCCACCTCAAGCATCCCCACCCCACCAGCCCATCCCAGAGGTACTCTTTCTCCAAGGACTAATCCTTATTTCCATTTGATTTGGGTTCGCATGGATGCTCAGACAAGACAGGCAATCAGATACTATCACCAGAAATCAGGAGGAAGGAAGAAGGAGCAGAAGGACAGCAGCTGTAAAGAAAGGGTAAAAGAGGGTTGGTGGTTAAAGGTGGACCAGAGATCAGAGGGAACACTGGGACCACAAACAGAAAGGGTTTGTTTTTCTTTTTTCTTTCATCAAAATACAACAAGACAGACAGCAAATGGTGTAAAAATACACGAAACAAAACAAAAATATGGCTAGAAGAGGTTTCCCACTATCTTGACTTCCACGGTGCAGTTTTTCCACAATGAAGGGTTCCACATCTTCAAAGTAGCTGAAAAGAAACGGGTTAGGGGGTAAAACCTGGACCTGCACAGCCATTGGCTGAGCTGAAGGACGAGGGACAGAGGAGAGACTAAAACAAAGAAGGTGCTGTCAGTGTTCAAACAGGAGTCCTGGCACATTACATACATTTTTTTTTGTTTATTAAGGTTTTCACCACAGAGTTATGCAATATCTATCTATCTATCTATCTATCTATCTATCTATCTATCTATCTATCTATCTATCTATCTATCTATCTATCTATCTATCTATCTATCTATCTATCTATCTATCTATCATCTATCTATCTATCATCTATCTATCTTCTTTCTTTCTTTCTTTCTTTCTATCTATCTATCTATCTGTCCATCCGTCTGTATTTATTTATTGAGGGACGGGGTTCAATCTCTTAACCTTTTTAAATCTTATCAGCCAATCTGAAGTTCATTACTCTGCAAGTTATGAAACTTCTGGTGCACCCAGGGTTTTCTTAATCCTTCAGCTAAAATGACTAATTAGTATCAGTAAAGTTAGGATACACTGTTGGTAATCACAGAAATGTTCTAAAGCAGTCTGCTGTAGACGTTCGTCTATCTGAGGAAAAAGAAAACATTTTTAATTTGCCCATGGGGTCTGAATGGACCTACATCCAGTCAATAGCTGTCATCCTAAAACAGCTAAAGTCTCAAAGAAATGTTTCTTGTTTATGAGAATAAATCCTGACAGACTGTTATAGCACGTCAGCTTTCCTTTATACTTTTATTTCAGCTGAAAGATGAATTTCCAGCCAAACCCAACCCATGGGTGTACAGGAAGTATTGGCTAATGCTAATGATGATGATTGGACAAAGGACACATACACTTCCATGTAAATAATTGTGTAATGTAAAATGTCTGCCTAAACCACAATGAAAGAGTTGGAGGTTGGGGCTGTTTTAAGACTTAGGACCTGGGCACACTCTAACTAGCCTTTAGCATATCAGTCCTCTGAACAGAGGCTAATATGTCTAACACAGAAATGCACTTCAGAAGGGCCAGAGTTTAGACATGCAACTTCTTTTCTTAGTACACAGATGAAAACAAATCACATAAATCTACTTTCATTTGGGATGAGATCTTCTATTGGAATTAAGAGTTTGCTCTGCTGTCCCTGAGCACAAAAATGCACAGTTATTAAAAAAACATGCTGTCAAACACAGAGTATTAACAAAGAGATGCAGTCTTTTCACAATAAATGGATGTTTTCACTCACCAAAAGTTTAGTTATATTGTATCAACAAACCAAACTTCAAATGTTGACAAACAACTTTCCATAATGCTAAAAAAATGTCAATAAAATGTATGCTAAAATGGACACATTTAGATGTATGCTTTACATATTAAAATATGTCAGAAAAATTATCTCCGAAAAATAATTTTAATCACATTTTTACTCCTATCAGAAGACTCAAACTTTATCATCCTGACAAATAAAATGATTTCAGTTTATTCAGACTCATTTCTTTTTGACAAACAAAAAACAAAAGTTAATGACAGACTTTAAATGTAAAGCTCTGAACACATTTACACTTAAAACCGAAACAGCTACTACCTTACATCAGCAGGGGGGAGGAGATAAAATACATTTTTTTATCCTTTACTGATTAAAAATGCAAGCTGATATAGAATATCCTTTGCATGAGAGCCAGAATGCTGATGAATGATTATGTCATCATTTAGATCAACTTCCTGCTCTTTGTTTACTCTGTTGTGTGGATTGATATAACAGCGTTTTATAATTGATAAAAGTCTGCTATCCAGGTTAAGGCTGCTTTGTGAAACAATGCATCAGGACCACTCAGAATAACAATAAAATAAAATAAGTTGAGAATAAAGTCAAAATTATGAAGTCTAATTGAAATTTCCCAAGGAAGCATATACCTATGTGGTCCTGAACCCAAACCCGTTTCTGTCCTCCATTCATTTTATTTTAACCAGAGGTTGTGGGCAATCCTTTAAAACGACAAAATTCAATTCTAAACCAGGTGAGGTCTGATGTGAGGTCCTAACTGCTGTTGCATCCACAGCAGAACGTTTGTCAATCCTTCACAATAAAAGTCCTAAATTTGCACAGTTCATCTGAAGCCTATAAAAATCTTTGTTTTATTGTTTTCCATCTGAATGCCAAGGAATTTACTAGATGACTTATGGGTGTCTTAGATTGTTGTTTTTAGTTTTTGAATTCCCGTTTTGACCTCAAAATAACTACTTTATCCTCCTAATTTTCTCTTCTGAGTGGCTCTGATGCACCATAGCAGCTTTGCCTCGATTTGTTTTACAGACTCTTTAGTCTTGGAACCAATGCCATTTTATATCCTGGACAGCTAAGAACTGAATTTTGTCTGTTATTTTTGACTAAATTAATAAAGGAGGAGACGTTTTCAAGAACATTTTGTGTAGTTTCTGTTTCCTTCTTCCTGTTATGTGTTCAGTATCTTAAGTCTCCAAATCCAGGAGAATAAGCTTCACTTCTGGGGAAGCGAGAAGATCGTTTCTTTGCCAAGTCACTACTTTAAAATTTGTGTGCGCATAATTTGTGAGGGTATTACGGCTGTCACTTACCAATGCAGGTCTTGCTGTCCGAGTGCAGGGCATACTTTTGGTGGCAGCCACAAACCGGCCCTGTGTCTGTGTCGTCACATGTGTGCTGGCAACCACCATTCCCATAGTTACATGTCACTAAAGACAGGACAAAATCAAGGTTTACTAATTCTTTGAATGACATTTTTGGGAAATAAATTAGAAAAATTAATTAGATATGTTTTTACTTAATTAAAAATAACTATTATTTATCCATGGAAATGGTAAGGACAGAAAGTCTGACCTAGTCGACTCAATCAGGAACGTGTGTAAAAGGGAAAAAAAGAATGACTGATCTGATTAGATTAGATTGAAAAAATTTGAGTTTTGCACTAAGACCAATGAAAAGATAAGAGGTATAGAGAAAAGCAAATAAATGGAAAAACTGTACAAAGAGAAAGAGTTTACTCAATTCAATACAGCTTTATTTGTCCTTCTGTCACTCAAACATTTCTCATTTCTGTGAATTTCTTTTTATTCTCATGCTTCTTCCACTTGTGATGAGAAATGATGTAGCCACAGCAGCAAGGAGCAGGCAATGCAGGTGAAGTGTCATCCCCAACGACACCATGACTGAGACAAACTGAGCACGATCCTCCAGCACTTTTGTGTGTTTATTTTCATATATTTGTAAGACGCTTTTGTTCAGTGTAGGCATATAAGGAATTGCACAAAGAGAGTGTGGTGGAGGGAAGGGAAGTCCAAATAACAAAAAATATAAAATAAAAAAGACTTAACAAAGCATAAAACAACTAAGTAAATAAAGGAAGATTTAAAGAAATTGTTGAAATAATACAATTATATTAAAAATGTATAATATGGGGAAAGTTTAAAAAAGGGAACATGGGATGAATTCCAACTAGAAGGGGATCACACTCCTGAGCCTCCATGGCAGGGTCCATTCAGGAATTCTGGAGAGGCTGGTCCATCAGATAGTTGAACCTCAGGCTCAGGAGTAGCAATGTGGTTTTCGTTGTGGCCATGGAACACTGGACCAGCTCTATACCCTTAGGCAGGTTCTGGAGGGTGCATGGGAGCTGGCCCTACCAGTCTATGTGTGGTTTGTGGATTTGGAGAAGGCGTTCGAAGGTGTACCTACAAGGGCCCTATGGGGGGTACTCTGGGAGTGTGATATGGGATGTTAGGTCCATGTATGATTGGTGCCAGACCTTGGTCTGCATTGATGGCAGTAATTTGGGCTCATTCTGATGAGAGCTAGGCTCCACCAACAACCAACCTTGCCCCTTCTGGATACCTTGTCGGCCTCGGTTTTATGGATTAAAACCCCGGGTCTGCCCCTGACTCCTACCTTCTGCCTACTCCTTGTTGGATTATTATTGCTACCTCTCTGGTTTTGACCCTGCATCTTCTCAACGTTACTTATTCTCTGCTTATGAATTCACATGGTAGGATTTTTAAAGAATTTATTTGTAAATCAGGGTGGAAAATAAGTATTTGGTCAATAACAAAAATTCAACTCAGTACTTTGTAACATAACCTTTGTTGGCAATAACAGAGGTCAAATGATTACTATAGGTCTTTACCAGATTTGCACACACAGTAGCTGGCATTTTGGCCCATTCCTCCATGCAGATCTTCTCGAGAGCAGTGATGTTTTGGGGCTGTCACCGATCAACACGGACTTTCAACTCCCTCCACAGATTTTCTACGGGGTTGAGGTCTGGAGACTGGCTAGGCCACTCCAGGACTTTCAAATGCTTCTTACGGAGCCACTCCTTTGTTGCCCGGGCGGTGTGTTTGGGATCATTGTCGTGTTGGAAGACCCAGCCACGTTTCATCTTCAAAGCTCTCACTGATGGAAGGAGGTTTTGGCTCAGAATCTCACGATACATGGCCCCATTCATTCTGTCAGCACGGATCAGTCGTCCTGTCCCCTTAGCAGAAAAACAGCCCCAAAGCATGATGTTCCCACACCCATGCTTCACAGTAGGTATGGTGTTCTTGGGATGCAACTCAGTATTCTTCTTCCTCCAAACACGACAAGCTGAATTTATACCAAAAAGTTCTACTTTGGTTTCATACACATGACATTCTCCCAATCTTCTGCTGTATCATCCATGTGCTCTCTGGCAAACGTCAGACGGGCCTGGACATGCACTGGCTTCAGCAGCGGAACACGTCTGGCACTGCAGGATTTGATTCACTGCCGTTGTAGTGTGTTACTGATGGTGACCTTTGTTACTGTGGTCCCAGCTCTCTGCAGGTCATTCACCAGGTCCCCCCGTGTGGTTCTGGGATTCTTGCTCACCGTTCTCATGATCATTTTGACCCCACGGGATGAGATCTTTCGTGGAGCCCCAGATCGAGGGAGATTATCAGTGGTCTTGTATGTCTTCCATTTTCTGATAATTGCTCCCACAGTTGATTTTTTCACACCAAGCTGCTTGCCTATTGTAGATTCACTCTTCCCAGTCTGGTGCAGGTCTACAATTCTTTTCCTGGTGTCCTTCGAAAGCTCTTTGGTCTTGGCCATAGTGGAGTTTGGAATCTGACTGTTTGAGGCTGTGGACAGATGTCTTTTATACAGATAATGAGTTCAAACAGGTGCCATTAATACAGATAACGAGTGGAGGACAGAAAAGCTTCTTAAAGAAGACGTTACAGGTCTGTGAGAGCCAGAGATTTTCCTTGTTTGAAGTGACCAAATACTTATTTTCCACCCTGATTTACAAATAAATTCTTTAAAAATCCTGCCATGTGAATTCATGGATTTTTTTTCACATTCTGTCTCTCACAGTTGTATACCTATGATGTAAATTACTGACCTCTGTCATCATTTTAAGTGGGAGATCTTGCACAATCGGTTGCTGACTAAATACTTTTTTGCCCCACTGTAGGGTGAGAATCTCGGTCATCTGGGAGGGGCCAGTTAAGGTGGTTCGAGCATTTGGTTAGAATGCCTCCTGGATGTCTCCTTGGTGAGGTTTTCTGAGCACGTCCAACCAGGAGGAAACCCAAGGAAGATCCAGGACTATGTGTGTCATGCTGACCTGGCAGAGGTGACGCTGTCAACTGTCTCCTCCTCATACTGACTCTGCTGCTCAGTGACTGCACATGAGCTCTGCATGCAATTTTCACACTGGCCAGAGGGGGCTTGTGAACTCTGGTGTGTGCTCCTCCAGGTGAGCCAAATCAGGCAGTCAAGAGCTCACCACCAGTGGCTTTTTAATGCATGCATCAGTCATTCAACCATTGTGTGACAAAACTGAGATGGCAAGCAAACAATTCAGCTGTGAGGAGGACCTTGATCTTGACAGGCTATCGGTAAGCTCTTGGGGTGATTCACATGGACTTGTTTCTGAGCCAAGTTTTGTGGCAAACAAATGTGTTGGGAGGAAGTTTATGTTTTTCTTTAAGTTGATCAGAATTTGTTTAGTTAAAAAATATTTGGGTTTCCATCCCAATTTATGGAAATTTAATATTTAAAAATGGTAACCCAAGATTATCTGTTTAAATCCTGAAATTAGTGAATGTATTTAGTTAAAATGTAAATAAAATTATTAAAAAACCTTAATTAAAATGTTTAAAAAACACAGGTTAAGTACTGAAAATATAACTGTGAAAGTAAAAATTTATAAGGTAGTAAAATCTGAGAAAAAAATAACTTCTTGTTTAATTTAAAGACTAGAATATGTGTAATCTTCTTTGTGCAATTACCCACTTCTGGGATTAGCAACTAACATGGTTAAAGTATACTTTTACTTAGAACTTAAGTACTTACCTTCTATTTAAATTACAGATGTTGGTTGAAATGCTTTTTAGTTTGTGTTACCTGTAAAATGCATTTAGTTTGTTTTCTGTGTGATCTTTAAAAAGTTCTATTTTTGTATTTAAAGGTTTTCACCTGATACTGATGCTGACTTATGATGATCCTGAAACTGGTCAAATAAAGACATATCTGAGTGAAGCCAAAGTCTAGTCTTTTCAGGTGTAGACGCCTCACAGAAAGAAAAAACACTTGACAATGTGTCTCGGCTGGCAAGGGAAAACCTTTAATTGTCTGAGATTTTGAATTTGGGATTCTCATAAGCCAGTGGTTCCCAAACTTATTTAGCCGCGCACCCCCTTCTTTGTCCCGACCATGTTGACGCACCCCCCAGCCCCCACATCAGGGCATGGCTATATATATATATATATATATATATATATATATATATATATATATATATATATATATATATATATATATATATATATATATATATATATAATCAGACGTCAAGCTAAACAGACAGGGTTAAAAAATATGATCGACCTTTTTCCCCATCACTTTCATTTTTTAAATGGTAATTAATAAACATTCGATACCATTACAATTTCCTTTGATTTAATTTTAAATAAATATTTAGAGTGCCCAGGTAGCACATAAACAATGCAAATTAACGTTTTTTTTTTTTAAGTAGGAACGTTTCTCCTTCCTTCTGCTCTGCGTAAACCTGAGCTGGTCACCTACTTGTGCGTAATCAAATGTCTATAGGGGAAAAGGGAAAAGATATAGCCATAAGGTCACTTTTGCCTCAGACCGACTTATTGCTGTTTTATGGTGTGGCTGAATCTGCGATCCGCCGCCACGCAGACTGGAATAACAAATGCAGACCCGGCGCCAGAGGACTTCACCTGGAGGGGCAGTAGGTTTTTCTGGGGGGGCCCAGTAAACCGTGTTTTTATCAACCCCTTTGCATGTTTATAATCTGTCTGGTGGACGTTACATACATAAACTTCCGGGTCAAATCGGCCGTTTGCATCACCAACTTGTTCTACATAAATAACTGAAAAGCTAAGATTCTTCATTGTTTAATTCCGATAATGTATGCCAATTAAAGATGCAATCAAAACTTAAGACAATGTAACCAATTTTACTGAACCCCATAAACTCTGTGATCAGATGTTTGGAGCATTTTGCCTTGTGCATGTGCCACAGTTATAACTGGTTGACTTGTCTGCTCATTGTCTCCTTCTCTCTTCACCACAGGAAATGGGTTTATTGATAAACATATTGATAAAATCCCTAACATAATCCAACAAGTCACACCATACAGTAGTCCTCTCTTTGGACGCACAACAAGCTTTTGATCAAA